CACAGCCAGCGACGGGCAGCTCTGAGAGCTGAGCCCCGGGCTGTGCCAGACCCTGCTCTGGCGGCCAGTGCTGTGGTTTCAGTGTGTGAGCTCGTGGCCCGTTACTGGTTCTTAAAATTTGAGTGGATCACAACTGGACTTTTTTTTTTATTTTAATAGAGTAGAAATTAGACTATGTTGCTCTAGTAAGGATAAAATATTGCTGGGTGAACACTTGTGGCACTTTTTATTTTACATAATTATATTTGTACATATGTGAGCTGGTGAGGCCTTGCAAGAGGATAAACAGCATTTATCTAGGCACAAGCCAGTTTGTCTTGGACTGGAGTTGTGGCGGGACAGATGGACACAGGTGAGTCTTAGCTGCACGGGGCAGAGGCACCAGGGCTTGGGAGGGGACTGGAGCCCAGGGCCGAGGGTCTCAGGGAGACCCATGGGAGGTCTCAGGGCCGAGGCCTGGGTTTCTGGGAGGAGTCAGGTCAGTCCACCTACAGGAAGGCCGGACCCTTTTCAGAGGGACCGTCCCAGGTGGCCGTTGGACGCCCTGATTTCCTAGCTTCTCTCAGCTGCAGCTGTTGGAACTTGGTGTCGGCATGTGGCCCAAAGCTGTAAGCTGGCCATGAATTTATGAGCTAGCCTGTCACCCAGAACTGCCTGAACAAGGGGACTGAGCCAAAAATAAACTCTTGAGGCGAGTAGTGAACGAACTAGTTGGAGCAACAAGTAATGGCTGGATTACATGTGGGCTGACAGCAACTCTGTGGGAATTGGGCCTTGCTTGTTTTATGTGAAAGTCCCTCTCCATTTATTTATGTGTTCTTCAGTGTCTTTCAGTACATTTTTTTTTAAATTGAGGTAAAATTGGTATATAAACATTATATGCCAATTACATATATAACCTTCAGGTGTTTACCATTACAATTCCACATCTGTATATATTACAAAGTAATAACTGCCAAATGTCTAGTTACCATTCATCACCCCCCATACAGTTGACCCCTTTCATCTGTTTTGCTCGTCCTGAACCCTGTTCCCTTCTAGTAAGTAAAAGTGAAAGTGTTAGTTGTTCAGTGGCATCCGATTCGTTGCAACCCCATGGCCTGCAGTCCGCCAGGCTTCTCTGTCCATGGGATTTTCCAGGCAAGAATACTGGAGTGAGTTGCCATATCCTTCTCCAGAGGATCTTCCTGACCCAGGGATCGAACCCGGGTCTCCTGTACTGCAGGCTGATTCTTTACCATCTGAGCTATCAGGGGAGCCCGTTCCCCTCTAGTAACCAGCAGTCTAGTCTCTGTGTATATGGATTTTATTTTGTTTGTTTTCTTTAGACTCCATATATGAGTGAGAATCACACAATAGTTATCTTTCTCCATCTGACATATTTCACTTAACATTATACTGTCAAAATGGCAAGATTTCATTTTTTTATGGCTGGGTAGTGTAAATGTCCATCACATCTCTATCCGTTCATCCACTGATGGGCATTTATGTTATTTTCATATCTTGGCTATGATAAATAATGCTTCATTGAACATGAGGGTGTGTATGTTTTACAGTTGGTGTCTTCATATTCTTTGGATTAATACCCTGAAGTGGGTTGGTTGAATTATACAGTAGTTCTGTTCACTTTTTTGAGGAATTTCCCATTTTTCATGGTGGCTTCACAGAGTATGAGGGTAGGATTTCTGTAGTTTTATATCATCATCGGGGCAGGTGATGGGAAAGAATAAGAAGGCTGGGGACTTGTGCAGGGATACTGCAAGGCATGCAGTCAGCTGTTGAATCCGGCTTGGCTGGGGGAGTGGACAGTCTTGGATAAAGGGGAGGGCAGTGGTCCCTGCAGTACCGCACACACCAGATACACAGTTTCATTGAATGATAGTTCCTCCCCACTACTCTTAACAGCAGTTCCTCCTGTTGATAACTGAAATACCAAGACCAATTGTGAAAGGGAATTTACTACCCTTCTCATGTGGGCACAACCCGAAAGTCAAGTTAGTCCTCGGACGTGGTTTTCGAGTTACCATGATTTCATGTAGTATGCTGAATCAGTAAATAAATGATAGGTTGTGATCCTTGACCTTGGGAAAAGTTTAACCACATAGTGAGAGATTTTATTTTCATTGACTGTTTCTGAGGAACTTAATATTTCAGCTATAATGAGCACCTTAAAAATGAACACGTAAGTAGAACAGAACTCATAGATGCATGTTTTGTGTGTTTGTGTTTACTGAGAACACCATGTCTTTGAGGTGGAATTCACCTATGATTGGGGCTTCCCAGTTGGCACTAGTGGTAAAGAACCCGCCTGCCCATGCAGGAGATGTAAGAGACGCTGGTTTGATCCCTGGGTTGGGAAGATCCCCTGAAGGAAGAGATGGCAACGCACTCCAATATTCTTTCTTGGAGAATCCCATGGACAGAGGCGCCTGGCAGGGTACAATCCATAGGATTGCAGAGACTGGGACATAACTTTGGGTCTGGTCTGTATGGATTTAGTAGTTTTTATTTCTCCTTTCATTTTTGTTTAGCGTGTAACAACTCTGAAAAAAGTAATGTTTATTGAGTCATGGAATATTTGAGGACTTTCATGTTTTAGGACATGAGTAAGCTTCAGAAGAAAAACAGGGATCACCCTTTGAGGAGCTTGTGTTCCCTGGATCAGGAAGATCCCTTGGAGTAGGAAATTGCAGCCCACTCCAGTATCCTTGCCTGGGAAACTGCATGGACAGAGGAGCCAGGTGGGCTCCAGCCCATGGGTCAGAGAGTCAGACACAATTTAGCAACTAAACTGTCCTTTTTTTTCTTTTTTTTTTCTTTTGGCTGGTTCAGTTCAGTCCCTCAGTTGCTCTTTGCAACCCAGTGGACTATAGTCCACCAGACTCCTCTGTCCATGGAATTCTCCAGGCAAGAATACTGGAGTGGGTTGTCATTCCCTTTTCCAGGGGATCTTCCTGACCCAGAGATTGAACCTAGGTCTCCTGCATCGCAGGCAGATGCTTTACCGACTGAGCCACCAGGGAAGCCTTTAGTTGTTTGTATGTATGTGGGTGTATATGTGTATATATATATATGATCAAAAAATGTTTGGAGGCTACTCTGTGTTAGTATGGGCCTCTCAGGTGGTGCTAATTGTAAAGAAATTGCCTACCAATGCAGGAGACATGAGACACGGGTTCAATCCCTGGGTTGGGAAGTTCCCCTGAAGAAGGGCATGGCAACTCACTCCAGTATTCTTGCCTGGAGCATCCCATGGACAGAGGAGTCTGGTGAGTTACAGTCCATAGGGTCACAAGGAGATGGATATGACTGAAGCAACTTAACAGGCATGCACGCGCTTACGTTAGTATGTTTTTTTTAAAAATACACATTTTTTATAACATTCTCTTTTGTTTTAGCATTTTGAGAAAACCAAGAGTTTCTCTGCATGGTAAACCATGTTGTTAACGATGGAGTAGTCCTATTTGTTAGCTACATTTTGTAGTGTTAAGTAAGACTTGTTATGTAAAAAGATTCATTACGAAGATCTGGTCTGACAGACCTGAGTCTTGAAATCAAGGAAATCCTCTTCTTCGTGTTGGAGGAACTTTGCCTTTTGTAGGATGTGTCCCTCGTTCTGGGGCACCACACCCTCCTGCCTGCTGTCAAGTGTGGGGAGACGGGGGACACAGAATGTGGAGAGCTGTGTGCCTGTTCCACCGTTTAGCCCAGCCCACAGGGTGACCTCTGGTGACCTACACGCTCCCATTGATGTCTTAAAGCAACCCATTGGGATGCCAGCCAGAAACTTCTCAGCCTTACTTGTTTGCTCACTGGAGCTGTTTTCTTTGTACAAAATGCCTCATTTCAGAGCCATAAAATCCTTGCTTCAAAAGGTCTTCCCATCCTTCACCCCAAGAATATGTTTCCTATTATTATAAAAATTGCTTTTCAAAAATCTGTATTAAATGAAGTGAAGTGAATAAATGCGTCCAGGCTTGCAGGAGCCTATTTTCTTTTAAAAGGTTTCTTTTCATTATGTGTAACATAGGCCAAATTGTTTGTCAGTATATTTTTAAGGAATTTCACATGTTCTGATTCTTTGCATTGCAGATCACGTCATTCCTCCAAAGTTATAATCTTTAAGATGAGATAGCCCTTAAATTTTTTTTTTTTTTTTTTTGCTGAATCTACAGTTACCATGTCTGTCAGCCTACAATTCTTTCAGTTGGGCCTCTTTAATCTCCAGTGGAATATGGACACACTTCAAAATTGTCCACCTGAAATCTTTGGGACCCAGTTTCCTCAAGCAGTTTATTTTAGGACCATGTTTAGGGTCAGGAGATGAATCTGCCGAGTTCTGAATTTGAACACCCTCAAAAAATATATTAAGTTCAAGTCACATCCACTCCTAAGCTATCCTGCCCTAGAACAGTACAGATCATTGGGGTATGCCAGTACCTTTTTAAAACCAGACACCCAGGTTCTCAAGATAAAATTTCTAAAAAAAGTAGCCATCTTGGTTTCATGCCAACATTAAAATTAGAGTACTAAATCAATACAGCTGATAATTCAAAAGCTTAATACAGGAGGGAAAAGCATCAGCTCAGTAATCCTTGACGCCATGGGTATGGTCATCCGTGCACACAGATCTCTTGACCTTGAGTTTGTTTGAGGTAGAAGCTTTTGTTTTCATTTGGGTTTTGGTGATGAGTATTTTAATCTGATGGGGGAGGGTGGCTGTTCCCAAGTGGCTCAGTGGTTCAGAACCCACCCGCCAATGTAGGAGAGGTGGGTTTGATCCCCCGGAGAAGAAAAGGGCAATCCACTCCAGTATTCTTGCCGGGAAAATCCCCATGGACTGAGGAGCCTGGAGGGCCCCAGTCCATGAGGTCGCAGAGAGTCGGACACGACTGAGCAACTAAACAGCAGCCACATGTTGATGGGTGTCTGCCGGGGCCGCCGGGACAGACCTCTTTCCCAAGCCGTTCCGTGAGTGACCGCGGCCTGTGTCTCGGCAGGGTTGACGACCGTCAGAAGCATGCTCTCTCGGACCCTCCCGACGCAGCCCCGGACGCAGAATGTGGCTGGGTGAGAACGCGGTGTTCGCCTACGAGTCGTCGGTGCACGGCGCCCACGTGCTGCGCTGCCTGGACGAGCAGCGGCGGAAGGACGAGCTGTGCGACGTGACCGTGCTGGTGGAGGGCCGGCCCTTCCGCGCGCACCGCGCCGTGCTGGCCGCCTGCAGCGCCTACTTCCACGCCCGGCTCGCCGGCCCCGCCGGCACGGAGCCACGCATCACGCTGCCCGGAGAGGTGGGAGAGCTCGCCCCGCGTTCGCGCAACCAAGTGTCTCCTGGTTGATCCCGTTAGGGCAGAACCCCGTCTCCCGGTCATCCCCTGCCCGTGCTTCTGCAGCTGCACATTTAACTTGCTTCGTAGACATCCTGGCCTTTTCCATGTCAGCTGATTGACTTTATCTTTTTGGCCGCACCCACTCCAGTACTCTTGCCTGGAAACTCCCATGGTAGGCTGCAGTCCATGGGGTCGCCAAGAGTCGAACACTGAGCGACTTCACTTTCACTTTTCACTTTCATGCTTTGGAGAAGGAAATGGCCACCCACTCCAGTGTTCTTGCCTGGAGAATCCCAGGGACGGGGGAGCCTGATGGGCTGCCGTCTGTGGGGTCACACAGAGTCGGACACGACTGATGCGACTTAGCAGCAGCAGCAAGGCAGGCGGAATTGCAGTTCCCCCCACCAGGGAAAGAACCCCTGTCCCCGGCAGTGGAAGTGCAGAATCTTAACCCCTGGACTTCCAGGGAAGTCCCTGCAATGATAACTTTGGATGTTAATTATTTGTTGGGCCGTTGAATAACTCGACCCTCTGTTATGTTTTAATGAAATCACTCGCCGGTGGATATGGGCATTCGGAGAGGTCGCACAGCTAGGCGGGACTCACCCTTTGGACCTTTTCCTGTGATGGACAGGCAGGGATCAGGGTCCTCCCAAGCCTGCATTTGGCTATGACCGACCTGCCTTCGTGGACGGGGCTGAAAGGGAGTTGCTGGGGACAGCCTCCCTGTGCAGCTCAGTTTTATTGTTTTAACTATGAGTCCGAGTTGCCAGATCTATTCATTTTTCAAGCCAGATGTTTTAGAATTTGGAGGAAAGCTAAAAGATCATGCATTCCAGCCTCCTCATTTGGTCTGCAGGTGGCTGTTAGGTACTCCAGAAGGGTTCTCTCCCTTTCTTCTTTCTTGAGATTGAGACAATGGCATGGGTAGAAGAAAGGTGATTTTGTATCATATTTATGGAGCCTTTTCTTACACATCTTTCCCCCCAGGCCTATTACAGAGCTCAGGCACCTAGACATTTAGGTCCTTGTTACCATCCTACCTCCAAGAGATGACTCTTAGGGCAGGAGTGCTGGGCACACTGACTCTTTTAACAGTTTGTTTGGTTTCATTAGTGACTACAACTAGAAGAGTGCTGAGCCTTGTGGCATTGGGACACACATTTTGTTCATTGTTAAGTTGTATCTGACAATTTGTGACACTATGGACTGCAGCAGGCCAGGATTCCGGATCCTTCACTGTCTCCCAGAGTTTGTGTAAACTCAAATCTCCATTGAGTTGGTGATGCCATCCAACCAAATCATCCTCTGTCGTCCCCTTCTCCTCCCTCCTTCAATCTTTCCAATCATCAGGGTCTTTTCAAATGAGTCAGTTCTTCACATCAGGTGGCCAAAATGTTGGAGCTTTAGTTTCAGCATCAGTCCTTCCAGTGAATATTCAGGACTAATTTCCTTTAGGATTGACTGGTTTGATTTCCTTGCAGTCCAAGGGACTCTCAAGAGTCTTCTCCAGTACACATTAGAAGTTGTTAAAAGGAATTTGAACAAAGTATATAGAACCTGTCTGTGTACAACAGGTTTGTGTGGGCTATTCTGTGATGACGCTGAGTCTACAGTTTAGCTTATTGCTGGTCATGCATACATACATCCATGAAATGGTAGCTACATGTTGTCAGTTCTGTGGCAGAAGTCGGAACAAATAATATAATACTAAGGCAGTGGCAAGAAGGGCCAGCTATTAGTCAGCCATTGTTCTTAAACAAATAGCAACACATATCCTAATGGAGATATCCTCATTATGATCTGTAGTTTCAATTTACATAAAAAGACTTTACAAGCAGAAAAAAATTTGATTTCATATATATGGAAGGAAAGGTATCTGCATGCACATGTGTATGTATATATTCATTCATTCTAGTTTGAATATAAAATACAAATTTTCAGATCTTTGAAGTGTCTCCTCATAATGACGAATTGAAAAGATCATTGTATAGCTGTCTTTAAAGCCTCTTGATTATTTTAAATTATTTAAAATTTCTCAATTAAAATAATTGTTGAGATCATTGTAAATTCACATGCAGCTGTAAGACGTAAGGCAGAGAGACCCTTGGCTGTGCTCTGCTCAGCTTCTTCCAATGGTAATAGTTTTGCAAAACTGTAGTGTATCACAGCCAGGATTTTGATAGTAATACAATTCACCCAGCTTAGGCTTTCCTGGTCTCACTTGTACTAAGTTGCCTATGCTGTGAAATTCTCTACAGTTTCATTTTCTGGGTGGATCCGTGCATCCACTACCACAGTAAGAAAACGGAACAGTTTCAGCACCTGCCCGAGAATCCCATGTGTTGCACTCACTCCCTTCCTGGTTTCCACCATACACCCTCACCCCCTCCCTCCATTCCTAACCCCTGGCAACCACTGATCTGTCCTTTCTTAAAGTTTTGTCATCTGAAAAATGTCATATAAATGGAATCACACAGTAGGTGCCCTTTGGGGATTGTCCTTTTTCCTCTTACCGTAATTTCTCTGAGATTTATCCAAGTCTTGGGCATCCACAGTGTATTCTTTTGTACTGCTGAGCCGTCCATACTGTGGGTGTACCGGTTTTTATTTAGCTGTACACCTATTGAAGGAAATCAGGCTAATTCCAATTTTGGGCTGTTACAGATAACATCGAAGTGAGTGCTTATGCAGGATGAGTTTTCATTTTTCTGGCATAAAAGAATAGGAGTGCAGTTGCTGGGACATATGGTGATTGCATGTTTATAACAAACTGCCAAACTGGTTTGCAGAGTGGCTGCACCATTTTATGTTCCCACCAGCAGTGTGTGAGTTTTCTAGTTTCTCCACATCTTCACCAGTATTTGGTGTTACTATTTTTATTTTTTAGCCATTTAAAAGCTAATTAAGTATGCCCAGTTTAGCAGGTGTTTAAGAGGATCACAGAAAAATATCTTGATCACTCTTACTGGAATTCAGTGTTTTAAAATTAATTTTTGTATTTTGAGCCTAGAATGAAGCTTTCCATGCCCTCAGTAGGTGTCATCTCCCCCTCTCTCTGCAGAGGCAAATTCAGTGTAAATGTACAATTTTGAGCTTAAAGATTTTATTAGCTAGAGTCCTTGAATCTTTGCTGAGACTGTACTAGGCACAAGTTTTAGGTCTTCACGTAGATCACTTTGTAAATCTGAATCTTGAAAAATTTTATTAGAAACTCTAAGATAATTGATAGTTAGCCATTTACTGTCCACCATGGTTAGGAATACTTTCATTGCTTTAGCGGTATTATTCTCCAGTCTTGAAAATTCCACTGTAGTACTTTATCACAGTTGAGGAGTTGTTTGGAATATGGTAACCGCATGAAACTAGGATGGCAGCAGACCCCAGCACTTGAAACAGTGTGTTGGACATTTATCCATGTTCCTTATTCCATAGATGCCTTCTTTCTGCTAATGTGGAAAGTTGTGGTAATGTTTATATCTTTATCTCATATGAATAAATCATACTCCATGGATCATCATGAGTGGAAATCTATAAAGTGGAGGGTGTGGTCCGAATGAACAGGATGTGAGAAGCAAGCTTTTCTAGATTCCCTTAGCTTTACATTTCTGAGAAGAATTTGTTTTTTCTTACCAAATTAAAATCCCTGTTTTATAAGTATCACAAAGAGGTTTTCATCTTGCCACCCTGCTACTTCTCTTGTCCTTATCTGCTAGACAGCTTTTCAGGTGATGTGTTTGTTTTTGTTTTGTATGTTAACAGGTGACAGTTAAAGGATTTGAACCTTTAATTCAGTTTGCCTACACCGCTAAACTGATACTAAGTAAGGACAATGTGGATGAGGTGTACAAGTGTGTGGAATTTTTAGGCGTACCTGATATTGAGGAATCCTGCTTTCAGTTTCTCAAATACAAGTTTCTGGACTCCACTGCAGACCCGCAGGAATGTTCCAGAAAAAAATGCTTCTCCTCGCCTTGCCAGAAACCAGATTTTAAGTTTTCGCTTTTGGACCAGAAGGATTTAGAAATCGATGAGGTGGAGGAATTTCTGGACAACAAAAATGTCCAAACCCCTCACTGTAAACTGCGTAGGTGTCAAGGCAGTGCAAAAGCGATGACTCCTGTCCAGGATAGTGCCAGCCAGACGTGTGAGTCCGTGTGCTTAGAGAAGGACGCTGCCCTGGCTCTGCCGTCTTTATGCCCCAAATACCGAAAATTCCAGAAAGCGTTTGGAACTGACAGAGTCCGAACCGTGGAATCCAGCGTCAAAGACATTCAGGCCGCTTCTGTTCAGCCTCATGAGCCGTCAGAAAATGAGTGTCTAGGAGGAATCCAGGACTGTGCAGACTTGCAGGTGATTTTAAAATGTGAAGAAAGAAAATCAGCAATGGAACATGAAGAAGCCAAGAAGAAAGATCCCGCTTCCCAGGGCTCATCCGGAAAAACAGAAACAACTCCCTGCCCCCCCAATTCTGCAGACCCCCATGGGCTCTACTCTCTGTCTCTCTTACACACGTACGACCAGTACGGTGACTTGAATTTTGCTGGCATGCAGAACATGACAGTGTTGATGGAAAAGCCTTCATCGGGTTGCGATGTGCGAGAAGAGAAAGCTTTCAGTGAGAGTCCAGACATGAAATCAGACCCCGGCCCCAGGAAGGAGAGTGGCCTTGCTGCCAGTGACCTGAGCAGCGTGGAGCGAGAGGTGGCCGAGCACCTCGCGAAGGGCTTCTGGAGTGACATCTGCAGCGGCGACTCTCCCTGCCAAATGCAGTTGTCCCCTGCCGTGGCCAAAGATGGCCCAGAGCACAGCTACCCCCAGAAGCGGTCTGAGTGTCCCTGGTTAGGCATCAGGATCAGTGAGAGCCCGGAGCCGGGCCAGAGGACTTTCACAACCTTGAGTTCTGTCAGTTGCCCTTTCATAAGCACTCTGAGTACCGAGGGCTGTTCCAGCAGCCTGGAGATCGGAACCGATGACTACGTTTCAGAGCCCCAGCAGGAGCCTTGTCCCTATGCTTGTGTGATCAGCTTGGGAGACGACTCAGAGACGGATACTGAAGGGGACAGTGAGCCCTGTTCAGCCAGAGAACAAGAGTGTGAGGTGAGCGGAAAAGGAGAGTGTGCTCCAGTCATTGTTTGAGCTCCGTTAACTGGGCTGAATGTGTCCGCTCCTGTTGGGAATGTGATCTGGCTCAGGGAGGGAGGAGGGAACCCATACTCAGTTAATTATACCACCGTATGATACATACCAGGAGTGGGTGATGATGTTGGAAGGACTGCTGTGTTCCTTTATTTCAAGTAGGTGTATCTGTTCTGTTAACTGGGGAGTGGATTCCCGCATTGGCCGTGTAACTGTAAATCAAGTGCCAGGTCCCGAGAGGAAAAAGAATAATGATTCTCTAGTCATTTCATGATTAACTCCTGGTTAAGTACAGCATATATTCAGTCTTATTCACTGCCACAAGCACGTCTAGATGTGGGACTTGGTCACTTAGCCATGACTTAGCAGTGACCAGTTGCAGGAATGTGGCTTCTGGTCCAGAGTTTTCTTTATACTAGTTTCTCATAGCTATACATTTTTTTCTTATTTTCCCTTAGTTATTTCACCTATTAATTTAAAGAATGTCTTAATAATTTAGCATGAACTACATGTAACTGGTATGTTATTAATCACGCTAACCTTGGTCTCTGTACTTTGTGTATCAATGTTTGTATTTGATGCTTTTTTGTAAAACTTGACTATAGTTCTAGTAATAATAAAGACTCGTTAGTTTTTTATCATATTCTTTGGTTTTATAGCTGTTGGATGACATAGTTTGAAACAATGAAGAGGTTTTTATCCCCCTTGGCTTTGGAAGGAGGTGTTTGATTATTTAATTTAAGAAGTATGTAAGCATGAAGTTATATATATCGATTTTTATATGATATTTGTAAATGCAGTGCTTGAAACTATGACAAAGTGTTTAAAGGAAACATTTAAGAAATTTTATGTAACTAATTTCTATAAACTTGAAAGACTAGGTAGCTAGAGAAACTGACAAATGTTTCATTTCTTTTTGATAATTAAACTTTCCCACAGTATTATTCTTTAAAGATTATCTTATTATTATTTCAAATTTAAATATGTTGAAAATGACTGTAAAATATTCATAAGACTTTTTAAACCATTTCTGCATTGGCAAGTAAAATGAATTATGTGAAACTGCCATTTTTCTGACAGAAAAATAAATTTTCAGAAATGCCTTAGAAATTATTAGTGTTATTATACACTATATGAAATCAGTGCTACACAGTAATAGAAATCAAAGAACAAAACAAATTTTTTTGGTTTGGATAAAAATACATTTAAAACACTTTAGAAAATGCCTTAAAGATCTCTATGGGGTATTGACATGCCATAGTAAAATAATTTAAATTGTTTTTTTCTCTTAAGTACGTTAATGTTTGTGTTTATGATGTTTGATTTGTGAAAAAAATCTTCTCAATTTATCTTCTAAACCTTCTCAAATATAGAACAGAAATAATGAAGGAAAAAAAAAAAGAATGTATAGAAATTGGGAATAGAGGGTTTTTTTAAGTCTAAATAAAGTTCCCTGGAAAACATAGATGCATATTTCCCTTTTCCTAGATTTAAGTAAAACCAAAAAATGCAGCAATAATTGCTAATGTTTGTTTCACTTTCTAGGTAAAATTGCCATTTAACGCACAACGAATAATTTCACTCTCTCGAAATGATTTTCAATCTTTGTTGAAAATGCACAAGCTGACCCCAGAACAGCTCGATTGCATCCATGATATTCGGAGAAGAAGTAAAAACAGGATTGCTGCGCAGCGCTGCCGCAAGAGAAAGCTTGACTGTATCCAGAATCTGGAGTCAGAAATCGAGAAGCTGGTGAGTCTGGACGCTTCTTCTTATTCTGATTCCAACAGTTCCAACAGACTTTCTTTTTTACAGGAAGTAGCTGTTTCAATTCCTAAGTCAGATATAATGTTCAATTTAATTTTAAAATTTGCTGATTAGTATTAAAAAATAAATTATGTGACATTTTCAGAAAGATAGGAGATAAAAAACAATGAGGTTTCATAATTTTACCTAAGCAAGTGTTTTACGTATACAGTGTGATACTGTCATATGTAAGTTGAACTATTTCTGTGTGTCTTTTAAAAAAGTGATTTATAGATGAAAGATAATGTCACTACCTAATTCTTGGTGGTTGAGTAAAAAATGAGAGAAATTCTAAAACACTGGAATCTCTCTGTGTTGTGCTTGCTGTCTGTAAATGCTGATGCTTCAGTTGTTGGTTTTAATGAACCAGTAAGTTGTTTTGGTTGATAGCAAAATGAACCAGCCAACTTGAATCTTTCATCCAAGGGAAAAAATTCATGTGCTAATATAAATAGAAAATTTTAATACCTAATGAGACCCTCAGGGATAAGAATGCTTACTTTGTTATATCTTATTTTTTATTCCAGCATCAAAACACAAATTAACTAAAAAGTGGATTAATTTTCCCCAGTGTTTCTTTGTATGGTAGTGGTTGGTACTAATAGAAGGAAGCGTTGTGTGAAGAAAGATAACTGATAGTGCAGGCCAGCTAAAGCTAAAACCATGGTTAGAGACGACAGCAGAGACAGTGTCTCGATGCGGTGAAAGCGTTCACTGAATGTTCTGTTTCTCGTGCGTGCGTGGTGTCACTGAGCCGTGTCCGACTCATTAGACGCCCTAGACTGTAGCCCACTAGGTTCCTCTCTTTGTGGCCTGCTCTAGGCAAGAATACTGGATTGGCTTGTCATGCCCTGTTCCAGGGGATCTTCCCCACCCAGGGGTCGAACCCGTGTCTCCTGCAGCTCCTGCGTTGCAGGTGGGTTCTCTACTGTCTGAGCCGCCAGGGAAGCCTGTGTGACTCTGGGCAGGCTATGTCATATCTTTGTCTCTCAGTTTTCTCCTCTGTAAGATGGGATGATACTAGTTCTTACTTTATAGAAATGAGTATTCATTTATGAAGATTATTGTTGTTGTTTAGTCTCTTAAGTCATGCCCAACTCTTTTTTTTTTTTGGTGACCCCATGGACTGTATGTAGCCTGCCAGCCTCCTCTGTCCATAGGATTTCCTAGGCAAAAATACTGGAGCGGGTTGCATTTCCTTCTCCAGTTTATGAAAATTAAATGAGCTAATACATCTAAGCCTTTAGAAAAGTGCCTGGCACATAGTACTCAATAAATACTACTTTTTTCCTCTTCTTATTGCGATACTATTACTTATCAGTTTTCAGTTTTTTCTACCTTGATTGTTCCTTTCCTAATGTCCCTGCCTACTCTATAGACTCTGGGTTTGGACCTCACTGTTTATATTGCCTCTCTCATTTCAGAAAGACTCCTTTTATGTGGTCAGTGGAATAACGTTTGGTTAATTTTCAATAGAAGAGAATATTTGGTTTTCCCATGGTTCTTAGGAAATTTTTGTAGTTCCTTCCAAGAGTAATAGCCTAATAGACTGGATAGATCAGCATGTGAAGAAAAGTATTTTGATTACAAAACAAATAATGATTTGAAAATAGTATTTTTAAGGTGGATCACTCCGTTGTATCCGATTTTCTATCCGACTCGTGAACTGCAGCACTCCAGGCTTTGCTGTCCATCACCAACTCCTGGAGCTTGCTTCAACTCAGTGTCCATCTACTCAGTGATGCCATCCAACCATCTCATCCTCTGTCGTCCGCTTCTCCTCCCGCCTTCAGTCTTTCCCAGCATCTGGGTCTTTTCCAGTGAGTCAGTTCTTCACATCAGTGGCCAAAGTATTGGAGCTTCAGCTTTAGTATCAGTCCTTGCAGTGAGTATTCAGGACTGATTCCTTTAGGATGAACTGGTTTGATCTCCTTGGAGTCCAGGGGACTCTCAAGAGTCTTCTCCAACAACACAGTTCAAAAGCATCAATTCTTTGGCGCTCAGCTTTCTTTATGGTCCAACTCTCACATCCATGTATAACTACTGGAAAAACCATAGCCTTGACTAGACGGACCTTTATTGGCAAAGTAATGTCTCTGCTTTTTAATATGCTGTCTAGGTTTGTAGCTTTTCTTCCAAGGAGTGTCTTTAAGCATGCTTCAGGTGGTCTTTTTTTTTTTTCTTTTTTTTTTTTTTTTATTTCCAGGTGGTCTTTATATGCTAGGAAAGCCAAAGGGAGATGTTACTTTGAATTTAATAAATTGAGTTGTATTTTTCAACAAGTCCTGTCGGAGTCTGTCAGTAACCTTTGAAGAAAAAGAGGCAGGTATTTATGTGGTCAATAAATTGATGCTATTGACTTTTAATCTTTATTTAAAATTTGATAGTATGTTAGAGGTTAGGTATTAATTCAGTATTGCTTTTACTGTAAGAAATGAATATCTGTGATTTACAAACCAAAATCATGACTTTTCTTTTACTAATAAATATAAGATCTTGAACAAAGTTCAAGAATCATTCAACTTGTTATGTGTTTGACTTACAAAGCTTCGTCTTTATAGGATTCTTCTCAAGGTCCATGTTTATTCTTTTCTCTAAGATGAAATCAGAAGTCAGAAAATCTGTGTCTTTGATACCATTGTGGTCTCAGACAAAGGTAACCTTGAAATAAACTTTGCTTTTTAAAGAAAAATAATAAATTGCCAAAGTATGATTTCTCTTAGAAGAAATCAGATACTGATATCAACTTACAAGTGATCAGAAATCACAGTGTTCACAAAGTTCTGGAACTCGGGGTTGAGATGTTCACACATCGTTTCATTTCACTGCCCTTGTCCAGGATGATGGTGTAGGAGTCAGATAACCTCATCTGTCTTTGTGAAGGGAAAGTGTTAGCCGCTCAGCACTGTCCGATTGCATGTGGTCCCGTGGATTGTCTCCAGGCAGGAATACTGGAGTGGGTGGTAGCCTTTCCCTTCTCCAGGGGATCTTCCCAACCCAGGGATTGAACCCAGATCTCCTGCATTGAAGGCAGACTCTTGACAGTCTGAGCCACCAGGGAAGCCCAGTCTGTCTTTAAGTGTTTTGAATTTTGTCATGAAGATTATTGTATTAAAAACAACTGTTTTCTGGTCACTCTCTAACTACTGCTCTAGTGACATGTGCACGCCCATCTCCAAACCCTCCAGTGGGCCCTCTGGGGCTTCCCCACTGCCACTTTCTGAGGCCCTTGAGCAGTGCGTCTTGAAGTGTGGCCTGTGTACAGTTGGCATCAGAGTTACCCGGGAGTCCACCTTCAAAATGCTCCCTGGGGAGCCCTGGGAGACCTGTGGGAGGGGCCCAGGAACACGCATTCTGCAGAAGTTTCCAATGTGAGTCTTCATTATGCACGCTGAGTTTCTAACCTGCTGTGTTGGAACACATAAGTCAGATGGAGGCTTTGGAGTCAAACAGCTGAAAGCTCTGCCCTGGCCTCTTGGTGGCTTTGGAGAGGTCGTTGCCTCTCAAAACCCAGTTCCCTCATTGATAGTAAGAGATAAGAGTAGTGTCTCCCTTAGGTCAGGTGCGAGGATGAGGTGAAGCCAGAGATGGAAGGCTTTGTCCTGCCCTGCACATGTTCAGGGCTCAGTAAAAATTAGCAGTTATGTTTTCTGCAAATATCTGCTTTTCATTCCATATTAAATGTACTGGGTACAGGGAAATCAAAGATCAGTGAGACATAGCCCTTGTCAGTCAAGCGCTTAGAGTCTCATAGGGAGCCAGCTTTATGTGTTTTTATTTGTTTTTGAGAATCATCTTCCTCCTCCCCATTCTAGAAATTTGAAGCTTGTAGGAAAGTTAAGTGGATAGTGCGGTAAACACCCATATACTTCCTGGGTGGAGTCCCCAGTCGTTGACATTTTGCCATCTTTGCTTTCTGCCTCTCTGTGGGTCCTGGCCTTCTGTCTCTCTGGCCAGGTCTGTGTCCCCCACCCTGCCTGGCTGCTCTGCGGGTCTTTGTCCCTCTGTCCCTGCCAGCAGCTCTTGGATTCTTTGTTACTGCAGTTGGGTATCTTCTCACTGTACTCCCTGTCCGTCTCTATGGCTCTCCTTTTATTTTCTGAATCATTTGAAACCTGCCACATTATGACATTTTACCCCTAAATGCTTAAATATGAATCTAATAAAATGACATTTTTTGACATCTTTATCAAATATATTTACCAATATCTTTGTAATACCTGAGAAAATAAATCTTAAATAACATATATAGTTCCTATTCAAATTACTCTTATTGTCCCCAGGCATACTTTATATATATTTTTTCTTTTCAAAGTAGGAGCCAGTGCTCACATGATGTTTTTAGTTTTGTCTTTAGTCTCTCAGTTTCGAACAAATCCTCCCACTTCTCCCCTCATTTTTTTAATTAAAAAATTTTTTTGTATGAGAGTATAGTTGATTAACAATGTTGTGTTAGTTTTAAGTATAGCAGTGGGTGCATGTCAGTCGCTTGCTCACTCGGTCGTGTCTGACTCTTTGCGACTCTGTGGACTAGAGCCCGCTAGGGTCCTCGGTCTGTGGGGATTCTCCAGGCAAGAACACGAGTGGGTTGCCAGCACCTCCTCCAGGACGTGTCAGTATGGCCAAGCACTGTTCCGCTGTGTGTGTGCATACATGTGACTGAGTCAGATGCACTCCTCTTTACGGTGAGCAGTGTCCCACTGTGCATATATCCCACAGCTGCTTTACCCGTTCATCTGCTGGTGGACAGCTCGGTTAGTTCCGTGTCCTGGCTGTTGTGAACAGTGCTGCGATGAACACTGGGGTACATGCATCCTTTTCAGTTAGAGTTCCCTCAGGGCATATGCCCAGTACTCCCCCCTGCTATTTTTTAATGATAATAAGTTTTAATGTTTGTCTGATCATTTCCCCTTGGTTCTATTTAACTTCTTCAGTCCTTGTGTTTCATGTGAAAGTGTGTGTTCTTAGATTGAGATTAACGTTCTGCGTTGTGTCCTTCATACTGGGTCACTTGGGGAGACACCATGTCAGGGTGTTGTTCCACTTGAGTGCATGGGAGCAGATCATTTACAGTTTTTTGGTTTTTTTTTTTTTGCCTTTGTGATTGTGTTCTGTGGACTGTTAGTTAGGCACTTTGTGAATATCTGGTTCCCTAACACTCCTTTGTCCTTTGGTTTTAAGCATGCGATGATGGCCTTTACAATGGGGACTGCAAAATCGGGATTTTTCCAATTCTGTCATTCCACTGACATTTATTGGTATTCCTCTTTAAAAAGAACTTTCCTTCCCTCCTCTTTTCCCTCCCTCTGACCACATCCTTTTAGTATCACAGTGAACTCATGGATTCTTTTTTTCTAATTTCTCAGAACTCACAATAGTCATTGGTCGTCTTGATGTCGGTATTTTCCCAGGCTTGCGGGGGGAGAGCCAGCCTCCTCAGCCAGTGGTGCGTGCTTTTGACATGACCCTGTTAGTGCACCTGTGCCATTTAGAACAGCGTCTCATAGGTTCAACTTGTGTCTGTGTGCGTGCGCACATGTCTGCCTCTTTGCCACCCTGTGGCCTGTAGCCCACCAGGCTCCTCTGTCCGTGAGATTCTCCAGGCAAGAACACTGGAGTGGGTGGCCATGCTGTCCTCCCGGGGATCTTCCCGACGCAGGGGTCAAACCCAGGTCTCCTGTGTCTCCTGCGTTGACAGGCGGATTCTTTACCCCTGAGCCACCTGGGAAGCCTTCTCTTGTTCCAAGATGGGGAGCCACCCCTTTCTGTAAAAATCCCTAGTCTTTTATAGCAGGTGTTAGACTGCAGAAAGCATGCTTGCTGCTGGAGAAGGGTTGCTCCTTCTGTGTGTGTGTGTGTGTGTGTGTGTGTGTGTGTGTGTGAAATATGATGAGTTCATTCAGGATATATATCATGCTTCAGTAAATAGAAGTATGTACTTTGCAATAGAAAAATTTAGTGTTTCTTACTCAGTTCAAAGTATTTCAAAGTCTTAGATGGCCCTGAAATATTCAGAACTTGACTATCCATAGTTGTAGGCACCCACTAAAACCTGACTACTCATAGTTGGAGTCACCCACAGTTTTGTAGAAAAACTTTAATATAAACCCACAACAATACTTTTGTGCAAAGCAGGTTTTCTTTTTAAACTTTTAGCTATTTTTGTCTCAGAAAAGCATCTATTTAAAGGTTGGCCGTTGTAGATGGCTGCTGTGAAGCAACCTGTCTAAATGTTAACTGGCAACATTTAACAGCTTCCTCTCCCCTGAAGTTGCCAGAGAGCAGAAGGCCAAGAGATTTGTCATAGATTTCACAAGAGAAATCTTTGACCTTCTGTCAACATTTGTTTACTCTCACCTTATAAACAGCTTGGTCATTTGGTTTTCTAGCACATACTAGATGAGGCGCAATGCAGTGTTAGAATGGGAAAGATGGAGTGGTACAATCACAGAAAAAAAGACATGCTATCCGCAGTGACCAGTGATGGCGGACAGAGAGGCCGGAGCCAAGAAAACCTGAACAAAATTTCATGGTAGGCTTTCTTATGGGGATAATCATTTAACGTGAAAATAACAACAGTACCACTAGGAGTAATAGTTGTGCTCAGTTGTGTCCGACTCTCTGTGTCTGTACAGACTGGAGCCCACCAGGCTCCTCTGCCCATGGGATTGTCTGGGCAAGAATACTAGAGTGGGTTGCCATTTCCTCCTCCAAGGGATCTTCCTGACCCAGGGATTGAACCCGCGTCTGTTGGCATCTGCTGCATTGTCAAGCAGATTCTTGACCACTAGCGCCACCTGGGAAACCCTGCTGACTCAGAGGTAAAGAACCCACGTGCAATGTAAGAGACGTGGCGCAAGAGTCACAGGTTCAGTTTCTGAGTTAGGAAGATCCCCTGGACAAGGAAATAGCAACCCACTCCAATATGTCTAGTGATGGAAAGCCCATAGGGTTGCAAAAGAGTTGGACACGACTTGGACACGCTTTAGTTAAATAGCAATAATAGTAATTAACAAACACAATTCCCCTTCCCCTCCACTCTTCACACTTAAGTAACTCATCTACCAGCTTTTTGACTCTGGGCATGTTAAAATCTGAACCCCATCTGTAAAATGTGTTTGATATTCCTGAAATCAACAGTCATCGTGAGGATTACATAGTTGAAATGGTGTGTTTGGAAACATTTAGCACAATATCTGGAACAACTAATGTCCAGTTGTTATTAGAATCTTTGGAGTTATGATCACTTCACCTGTGCTTTTGTGGGGATTGTATTTCATCCCCAGAGTCCATGCTGGTTTATCTGCAGTCCACAGATCCAAAAAACTCTGAAAACAGTGTAAGTCTGTCGCAGCTATTTTGGCCAAACAACTGACACAAGCCGAGATCAGGTTGCACAGTCATTATGTATCCTCCTTCGTCTGTTGATGCTTTCGTGTGTCTTATTTGGAAATGGAAAGGTGTCTGAGAGTGAGGTGCTGCCTTGGATGCTGCTGGAGGAATTATGTGTGCATCTATACTTTCTCTCTAAAATCTGAGAAGTTCTGAACCCCAAGATACGTGTAGGCCTGTTAGGGTTGGGGGCTTATGGACCTCAGTATTGAATGTATTTTTGAATGGGATTGGCAGGAAAAATTCCCCATGACCTTACATGATGCGAAGGTGCCATGGATGTGAATGTGTGCACACCCTAGCCGTGTTGATGAGCTCATCAACAAAACTCACCGTATTCTCTTTCTCACCTACAGCAAAATGAAAAGGAGAGCTTGTTGAAGGAGAGGGATCACATTTTGTCCACTCTGGGCGAGACCAAGCAGAACCTGACAGGGCTCTGCCAGCAAGTCTGTAAAGAAGCGGCACTGAGTCAAGAACAGATACAGATCCTCGCCAAGTACTCAGCCTCCGACTGCCCACTCTCCCTGTTAATTTCCGAGAAAGGCAAGAGCATTCCTGACGGTGAGCTTGCGTTACCCTCCATCCTGAGTCTGTCTGAAAGGCCTGCAGCTGGACCGCCTGCCGGAGAGCCCAGCCCGTGTTGCCCCCGCACCAGGGGCAGTGAGGCGGGCGGTGTGCGGGGCCAGGAGTCCCAGCCGGCCGCCAGCACCCCCTCAGAGCTGAGCCCAGGGCCCCGGGAGCCCTGTCGCCAGAGTGGGGGCATCTCAGACTTCTGTCAGCAGATGACCGACAAGTGTACTACTGATGAGTAAATGCACTTCCGCCTCCTTCAAACCGGCTCCTTCCCACTGGCGTTTTGACATTGTCTTAAAAGCCTGATACGGCCACCCATCTCTTGACAGTATGGTTTGTCGCCCCTCGTGCTTTGCTGTTAAGGGAATTTCTTTGACATCAGCCTTTGACTTCTTCATTTCCACAGGAGAGGCAGAAATGATCTGCCACCTGGATGCTGAAAGTTCCCATGTGGAAATGCAGTAAGGCTTTGAAAGAAAGAAAGTGAAGTCGCTCAGTCATGTCTGACTCTTTGCGACCCCATGGACTGTAGCATATACCAGGCTCCTCTGTCCATAGGATTTTCCAGGCAAGGGTACTGACAACTCCTCAGTTTTAAAGAATAACAGCTGTTAGCAAAGATTCTTTCCAGTATTCAAAGTAAATCAGAAAATGAAAAGCTGTAGCATATCAAACAACAGTTACAGGTTGAAACCTCTGCAGACACATCCTACTCTAAAGAAGTAGCCTGCAAAAGATTAATCATCTGGCCTTCTTACAACATACTGGTTTAAAAGAAAATTTTCCTCCAAGTAATGCTGACAGTTCCATGCTACTGAAAAGTAAGGTGTCACTTCCTCGGGCATACTGGTGTAGGCCTGAAGTGGGAACACGTAGAGAGACTGTCTCGCCTGAACCCTGGCGTGTTGCCCTTTCAGCTCTTGCTGAAAGTGGAGACTGGTTGGCCTGCAGCTGTGATCCTGGGCTACGTTGGAAACAGTTAGCAACCCCAGGCAGGAGGCTGGCCTCTGGCTCCTGATCCTCCTCAGTGTCGACTTGAAGAGTTCTGGCTGCAGCAGCAGTAGATGAGTGTCATTCCCCTCTTTTCCTCTTCGTCTCTTCCACATCTGGGTCCAGCATGATCTTTTTGTTTTCTCACATTCTCGTCCCTTTGGAAGAAGAAATAAAACTCAGGACACAGTGGCGTGAGCTCCTGCGATGGCAGCCTTGTCTTCGCCTCCCTGGAATCGTGGAGTGCTCACCCGCGACAAGGCTGGGGGCCTGCCTGCCGGAGGCCACTCGTACAAGGGGGAAAGATGGCCTGTGTTTATCAGGAGTGGCAGTTCATTTCCCATCCTGTCTCTGAAGTTCTGTGGTTTCTTTGTAAAAAGCATTACGATAGATCAAAATGTGTCTACAACAACCATGCAGATTTGTGAGATAGGCTAAAAACATGATTTTGTTCCATTGTGGGTTTGAATTCGGAAGCCAAATTTAGTCTTGCTCTCCTCCCCAAATCTAGCGTGTAAGGGCATACCCATCATTTTGGGCTTGGGCATTTTAAAATCAGCCTTTGTGTTTATTCAGTCCTGTTTTAAGATAGTTTTCCAATAATCTGAACCGTTACCCCATGCCATTATGCAATGGTGTTGGCCATTCTGCTGTTATAGGCTTGCTTGGGAGTCTAATGAAAGCTGTGGACCTGTCAATGATGAAAGCAACATTGAGTATTTGCATTCAGAGAAACATTTGCAGAATCCAGTTTGAAAGGGTACGGAAAGTAATTTTTAGCGTTTGGATTGGAAAGTACTTCATTTCACTGAGATTAGACACCTGACTTGTGTAGATTGCATCTTGAGTCTGGCAAAGGGCTTGTGTAGTTAACATGTAGGACTGGGTCTGAAGCCAGTAGGCCTGTGAGGCGACGTGGGGACCAGGCTTCCCGTTTCAGAGTAATTCGCCAAATGTTACCCTTTATCATGGGGGCAGGTGTTGGCGGAAGCTATTGCCACTATCTTTTCAGTGGTTTGTATGTTATTTCTATTATCAGCTTAGCTGTTGTAGGAGAAAACTAGCTGGACTTGTTTATTTTCTAGAGGCTTTTATAAGTACACCTAAGAATTTGTCAGGGAGAATATAATTCTATGATAATAAATCCCATACTACAAAACAGTGATCAACGATTGTGTGTGTGTGTGTGTGTGTGTGTGTGTGTGTGTATGTATGTATGTATATACCCCCATCTAGCTATTACTTTGATACTTGTAATTTTAAATTCAAAATATAAAATAATATAAAACCTTTTCTGGTTTACGTGTAGACTCTTACCCAAGCCGACGGACTCCTTCATTTCCTACCTCAGTATGCGCTCAGCTGTTTTTCGCTCCAGTCTGTGTGTGTGCAGATGTCAGTCCTGTGCTTTAATTGCTACTGTAAATAACTGCTCTGAAAGATTACTTCCTGTTTTATGATGAAACCTAGCTCCCTCCAGAGTTTAAATACAATTTTTAAGGCACTTGGATTAAATTTCTCGCTACATGTAAACAGTTTAGCATTAAGGTTTATTTTAATGATATTCTAATTATTGGCCAAGTGTATTATTTCATAAAATAGAGCATTACATTTAATAACCAGCATGTAATACAAGTAACTACACTACCTCATACCTACATGATTTTCAAGTTGTAATCCAGAGGGACAGAGAGATAAAAATTTTTTTATCTTTGTCTTTTGGCCATAAAGTGGGGAAGTTTTTTATATATTGCATAGCATTACGCATTTATGCCTATTTTAACATTAACTTCTAAAGAAGTTTTTTCTAAGAAAATTTGTTTTAAATTGATTTTTTTTTGATGCTGCCGAAGACAAATGACAGGATTATGTGTATACAGTGTATATCTTTTCCTTCATGCAGAATTTTTCAAAGGTGATTTTCAGTTTATATATGGTGTATTTACATGATCATGGTTCCTTATTTTACGAGTTAGCCTTCTCACTGCTTGATGATTTTTAAAAGCTGTTAGGTCTAACTCAGTAAAATAACCATACCTTAAAGTGTTTCTCATTATTTGAATCCTGCAGCTGTAGCAAATAATTTGTTAAATTGTTATATTCAGAACAAACATGGGTATAAATATAAGTACTCCATCTGTACATCTTATTTACTATAGCTTAATGCTTAACTAATTTAAGGAATCAAATATATTTGACACAGACGATACAGGTTGCAGGTGGACACTCAGCCACATTAACAACTTGGAGAAAAAAAATATCAAAAAATGGCAATGTTATAATAAATTCTCAGGTGAACTTTTTTTTCAGTTATGAAACATCTATTTTGAATTTGTAAATATTTTAACTGTTTTATTAAAGCATGTAATAAACTATTCTTTGAAACCTGTTGGGCAGAATGAAAATTTAAAGCCATAATGGCAAAAGATGGCATACTGATTGTAAAATAAACAGAAATAATAACAGCTATTGATTTTTTTGTATCTTTCATAATATAATTTTCTAACAATGCAATAAAACCACTAAATTTATATATCCATATCCTATCAAGATCATGTTTCATTAAAGGTGAACTTTCATAGTATTTAATTTACATTTTCTTCCTAATGTGCTTATCCAAATGTAGCGAAACTTGAAATGTTAGATGTTGGTAATAAAATGACAGTTCAATAAAAGTCTCAAAAACTGCATCTGATTGACTAGAGTTGTACATTCCATTTCCATTTTCTCACCTCTCATAGGAATTTACTAATTTTGGTCAGTAAACAGTATGGCTCTGGCATCTGTATGAAGGAGTCTTTTTCACTAGTTGATTATCATGCCTTAAAAAGGAGGTTCTTAGCAATTATCAGTGTTTAAAGAAGCACAGATTTTAACCTTGTTTCAGATTTAATTTTAGTCTTTGGCTAGAGCTATAGGGTTATTTAAGGGGTATCTCTTTCAGTCTTCAGTTTTTAAAAAATTTATCTGCAGAATCAAATCAACCATGTTACATTCAACTTCTAGCCAGGCCCTTGTAATCACGCTTCGGGCAGCTGCTCAGAGTTGCCAGCAATCCAGATCAAGGTCTTCTGGTCTAGTTATTGTGAGTCTCTTCAGGGGGTCTTGTTGCATGGTGGGTGGAGGCTTAGTTTTGACCTTAGGCATTGACTGTTTCTGGGGGAGAGACTTCACCATCGCCTAATACCTTCATGTGGTCTTACGCCTCCAAGGGGTTTCTGGCACCCAGGATGGATTGAGTTGAGAGCTCCCCCTAGGGGCTTGGAGGCCACATTCCTATGTGAACAGGCATATTCAGAATGGGCCTCAGAGTTGAGTAGACTGCGCCTTGCAAAGCAATGTTTAAACCTAAGAAAGCTGCCTTCCCAGGGATGGACTTAAGCAATCCAGAGGCACCTAAAGACAAGCCACGTGGGATTGCTGAGGGACCAGCCTTGGATCCCCGGTCCTGCATACAGACGAATTGGGTGGCAAGCATAGGGTCAGTGACGCTGGCCTGGCACTGCCAGTTAAAAGCTAGAAACTTGACAGCACCCTGTAACGCATTGGGACCCAGCTGCCTTGAGAAAAGCAGGAGAGCAGCACACATGCTTCCCAGTGCTAACAGCCCTGTGAAGTCCTTCTCTCTCGAAGTCGTGCCTTGAGGTTGCCTGCCCAGGCTGGGGGCTCACACTGCTGGGCTTTGCTCGCAAGGCTGTCGTGCTCTTGGTGTTGGATGGGACACCTACAGTTGTGCTGCTGCAAGTTCACGTATGCCACACTGCACCCATTATATAAGGCCCTTTTGCTGTGTTTCAGTTGCTAAGTCGTGTCTAACTCTTTTCAACCCCGTGAACTACAGTATTCCAGGCTTCCCTGTCCATCACCAACTCCTGGAGCTTGCTTAAACTTATGTCCATCAAGTCAGCGATGCTGTCTAACCATCTCATCTTCTGTTGCCCCCTTCTCCCCGCCTTCAATCTTTCCCAGCATCAGGGTCTTTTCTGATGAGTTGGCTCTTTGCATCAGGTGGCCAGAGTTTTGGAGCTTCAGCTTCAGCAGCAGTCCTTCCAATGAATATTCAGGGTTGATTTCCTTTAAGATTGACTGGTTTGATCTCCTTGCGGTCCAAGGGACTCTCACAAGTCTTCTCCAGCACCACAGTTCAAAACCATCAGTTCTTTGGCACTCAGCCTTTATGGTTCAACTCTCACATCCATACATAACTACTGGAAAAGTCATAGCTTTGACTATACTGACCTTTTTTGGCAAAGTGGTGTCTCTACTTTTTAATATGCTGTCTAGGTTTGTCATAGCTTTCCTTCCAAGGAGTAAGTGTCCTTAATTTCATGGATGCAGTCACCATCTGCAGTGATTCTGGAGCCCAAGAAAACAAAGTCTGTCACTTTTTCCACTTTCCCCCCTTCTGTTCACCATGAAACGATGGGACCAGATACCGTGATAGTCACTTTTTTGAATGTTGGGTTTTCAGACAGCTTTTTCACTTTCCTCTTTCATCCTCATCAAGAGGCTCTTTAGTTCCTCTTCACTTTCTGCACTTGAGTGGTATCATCTGCATATCTGAACTTGTTGATATTTCTTCTGGCAATCTTGATTCCAGCTTGCAACTCATGCCGTCTGGCATTTTGCATTATGTGCCCTGCATATAAAAAAACAGGGTGACAAAAT